TTCAGTCACAAATGGCTGGAAATTGTCTTCACAAATGCGCTGATGACATGAACTTGGTGTGTGAAATCCCTTCTGATGATTAAATTAGCGAATGTATAGAAACTAACTGAAAGTTAACTCCGTAAATTAGCGTCACTGTCTCTCATTAATTATCTCGTTCTATAAATGCTGAATATGGTTAAGTGACCAGTAGAACTAGGTATACTTTCACACTGAATGATGTCGATTCGAATGCTCTTTTTATGCACTAATGATTTTTGAAAAACCCCTGGACTTAGGGGAGTTTGAATCTGAAGCAAACACAACAGATTTTGCAAAGTAAGCTGCCTACATCGTGTGCGCTGACGAAATAAATGATGGTATCATGTCATTGTGCACAAGCATTTTTTTGGCGCATTTAAACTCATAAATAGGCAGTTTGTTTCATAGACAATCGATTCAAGGACTTCTGTTGCCTTATATTTTCAGTGGTAGGTTTACAAAGTCGGATTTCCCATACATTTGATCTAGGTAGGCCTTTAGAAGTGTCTTTTTGAACCTTGAATTCTTGAGATGCAGGTTGACGATGTTCATATCATGTCTTTTCGCCAACACAAACTGAATTCAAGTGTTGGTTTCAGGATTTGATCATGAGCTGACATCAGTTAGAGAACCATTGGAAAACCTGGAAGTACTGGACAGTTGTTTCGTCCTAGTTTGGGAATCTTCAGCAGTACGCACCCACTGGAGTTCGAACTCAGTACCTTCCGGTTACAAGGCGAGCTCGTATACCAGTAAGCCACTGGGATCCGATCCAATGGTCCTTGAATTCTAACTTCGAATGGTTCTCTAACTAGTGTCAGCCTATGATGAAATCCTGAAACAAACTGAATTGTTTGTTCATGACAGTGTCAAAGTTTTGACCAACGCATTTTACTCATTTCTAAAACTCGTTTTACTAAGACCTACTGAAGTGTGACTTTCAGCCGATATAGGATTATTATAAGCAAATGGCCTCTGGAAGCAGTGACCAAAGCTTGTACTTCATTCTTCAAATATCACATGAATGTCAATCAGCTAATGTATTTGTCTATCATCGATAGCGTCATTAAAGAGTTTTCTTGTCCTGTCAGAAACTGGAGCTCGCCAGTGTATATATATATATATATAGTGCATTTTAAGTGCATGTGCGTCTGTCTATCTGTGTAGGCTAATTGAGGGAAGAAAAACGTATAGGAAGTGAAGGTATAGGAATGGAAGTATAAACAAAATATACGGCTTTAACCCTAGTTTCTATTGTTCTCATTAATAGAAATTATCAGATAAAAAGCATTCATAAGATTTTTTATCCCTTGATGTCTCTTTCACTGCGCTGTTTCGCTTCCACTTTAAGTCCCCTATCTGATAAAAAAAACACAACCACAAAAATACTAACGTCATCAGCCATTAAATTGTATAGCTGGATAATTTAATTTCAATTATAAGTGGCACTTCATTTAACATAGAAGGAAAGTAATGCAAAAAAAGTGATTTTCATTATAGAAATTGGACAGAGACAAAAGACGAAATACCGCTACTCTCTCTCTCTCCTTCTTCCTATATATGTATATAGGCGCTTTTAAATTATCAGGTGCCTGTCTCATCAGGTGCATTGGCTTAAGTGAACACAATGCCTGCAATGTGCTTAACGCAAGAAAGTCGGATAAGTTATAAACAATTCACTTACCAGTGAGTCTTTCACACCGATACCGAATGAGTATACCTGGAAGTAATTGTCAGTATACCATATTTAATGTTTAATGGTTAGCAGATTTTCTATGCCTGTTGTCAACCTCCTTGATTGCGTAAGATTATTCTGAATTTTTCAAACACTGAAATTACTCATACACTTTGATTTACTTTGTTACTGACTGACAATAACCCTTGACCTAAATATACATTGTACATATAAACCTCTTAAATAACTGGACAGCTTTGAAGTGAAGTTGTGAAAAGAGTTGTCTTTGCTAACTCATGTGTTCACAATAAAGCAATAAATTAAAAAGTTTTTAATAGTCCCTAGAGGGTGAGTGACTGATATCATGTGCCTAGACTTTACTGCTAACCTAATTCAATCAGATAACCTTACTGACGAGTGTCAGTAATCACGAAACCTAGGATCATGCCGATAGCATTTAGTCACTTAACGTAACTTTAATTTAATCCATCATAATATATCATTTAAACATGATCAGCTCCCAAAATATACCTGGTTTTGCGGAAGTTTTGGTAATGGGATGATAGAGCATTTGTTTTAAATCTCAAAAAGGGTTCATTCTTTTGTGTACAAATTTAAGATTAAGTCACCTAGGAACACTTGATCATCTTCTTGGCTGTCTTGGATTTTTATTGGTTTCCCTTAGGATGACAATATTAAGCTGACTTTACATGGGAGTTCAAAAAGATTGCAGACCTTTTTTATAGTGTCGATTAAACACATTGTATTGCTTCTTAACACTGTAGGGAATGACGTATTCCACTGGTCAATTAATTGATGGTTTATGCTTAAGAATATCGCTGATAATGAGTAACAGGTTTAGTTTACTCACCTATGAAGTAATTTGGTGGATAGTGACAATGGAGTTCAGTATGCATATTTCGTCCCATTTGGGACTCATCAACTGGACATACCGGCATTCCAAGTGAGTGATGGTGTCTCCACTGAGACTCGAACCCGCCACCCATCGTTTCAAACACCAAATAAAAAATAAAATGCGCATCCTGGATTTCACTGCTGGTCAGTATTCACCAACCTACTCCAAGTTAATCCTCAAACATCTTCGAAGAATAAGTCACTAGGTAGGAGCCGAAATGTCAATAGAGGCCAAACATTTCGGTTCACTCGGGCAAGGGGGAAATCATAACTGAATTAAGAACAAACGATTCACTCATCTATCTTGTTTGTTTGATAAGTGTTTGTTCAAGTTCTACTGAATAACAAGAGAGTTTGAAAATCTCAACAGGAAGCATATCTTATATAAGCTAATTTTTAACGTTCACTCCTCTTTAAACACATCTAAATGCCTTGGGCACTTTAGCTAAATACTCGGTTGTTCATTCGTAAAAATATGTATTTGAATTTGATTGATGTGAAACGTTCCCTGGCAACATTAATATTTAGCTGCACTTGCATTATTGTAAGGTGGCAGAAAATGGGGAATGAGGAAACAGGCATAAAATGGACTCACACAAAAAACTTGGAGGATCTGGACTTCGCCGATGATATATGTTTGATTTCCCACAAACTAGAAGATATGCAAGTGAAAAGCAACAAGCTGGCAGAAGAAGCATCCAGAGAAGGTAGGACTTCAAGTGAACATAGATAAAACAGAGGTGATGAAGATTCCTGGCCAACACCATCAGCCACAGCAACAACAACAGACGACAATCAGCCAGCATAAATGGGAGGAACCCGAAAGAAACAACCTCCTTTACCTACCCACCTGGGAAGCATCGTTTCAACTACAGGCGAACAAAACTGACGAGGATATCAAAGCCACAATCGGAAAAGCAAGACAAGCTTTCATTACTCTCAAGTCTGTGTGGGGGTCAACAGAGCTCACCATCAAAAATAAGATTCGGATTTTCAACTCCAATGTGAAGTCATCCAGTGCTACTTACTATACGGATCACAGACTTGGCCAGCGCGTCATAAAGAGCATCTCCAACAAACTTCGGACCTTCATTAACAGTTGTCTTCGCTCAATACCACTCAAGATCAGATGGCTGGCTGGCCAGAAAAGATCAGAAACAGGGAGGGATCTCTGGCAATGAGCGAACCAACTCAGCTGGAACCGATTGTGAAACAAATAGTCAGGAAGAAATGGAGATGGATTGGCTGGTCATATTCTGAGGAAGCCATCAAGTGACATCAGTAGACAAGCCACTGCTCGAGTGGAACCCGAAAGGGAAGCGGGTGGCGAGTTGGTCGTCAGTGCATTGGTGGGGTGACTTGGAGGAGGTCATGTTGGGAGGAGATGAAAGCGTGTGGGCAGACTTGGAGCGGGGGTAAAACGTTGGCAGAAAACCGAACGCAATGGAGACGCGCGGCTGAAGCCCTACGTTCCTATAGGAATTAAAGGATAAAATAATTATAAATAATAATTGCATTACTGTGTATCATTAGGTGAGTGCCAAAGGTGAATGCTTATCCATAGCTAACCGAGGAGAATCAGCCGCAAATATCTACTGTTGAAGAAAGATCTTCAATAATGAAGCCAGAAGAATTCAATCACTATAAGAAACATGAAGAGCTTATTAATATACCAATAAAATCATTGTCAGTGTGTAGACATTGTCATTTTGTGGAGAATTCAATTGATACAGTTCAAATTTAACGCTTGTGAAAAAGAAATACTTGTTTTTCCTTCTCATGACCCTGTGTTTAAATGGTTAATTTAAGGCAAATCATATTTATTTTCTTGAGCACAAAGTATATTCTACTTAGACTTCTTATTTTTCTCAGTAATTTAATAAATTTCATAATCCTCTGAATATTTCTGTTAAGGATAGTAATTTGAAGCGTTGAGACTGAAGAATGAGGTTTCTTTCAAATGAGACTGTACTAAAGATAGGAAAATAAGAGGCGAGGTTTCTTAGTTTTAAATGAGTACCTGAATTTCATCAGTTTTGCAATATATATGTCACCGTATGCAGTGATTTATCCCATGTTTGACTGAAATGCTATACGCCCTCAAAAAACTTCGTTTTCACTTCTTACAAACTTCTTTAATTTTATTAACCAGTCCTGCTCTAATGGAGCTGCACTAATCATGCATATTAACCTAGGTAAGCATTCTGTAGTTCGCAACTATGTTATCCAGTCACCTCAGATAGGCATGATTGGCCATTATTTTTATAAGCTGAATAGAACCAAGCCTAGTGGAATAGCTGATGTGACAAAAGTGTTTACTCGCTTTTGATTGGTCAATCTGTCCGCCGTCGTGCTATTGGACAATAACTAATTCATTGTTTGTCTATCTACGACACATTGCAATTATTCGAATTAGTGAAGCTATTAACGCATGTGGGAAGTCTCGTGTTTTAAAACTCAGTTTATACATTTTATCTCGTTAATTTTGGTCAGAAAATAACATATCTATTTTTTTCGAAATTTTGTTAATTCAATTACAAATTTGTCAGCATTAAATGAAATTGAAGGATTACATATTTGTCATAGTACTGTGGCTTTTAATATGTACTCATGCATTTACCAGTAAACCGCCGAGTGTCAAATTGAAAATTGATGAAGAATCACCTTTACACACAACTCTTGGAAATATCTCCTCCTTTTTATTTTCAAAATCAAAAATCACATCAGACTCGTTATTTTTTACTGTAACACAAAATGGATTAATCCAATTGACAAGAAGGCTTGATTTGGAATCCTTATGCCTTGAACAATCATTATGCTGTGAACGTAGTAAACCATGTGAATTAACTTCCAGTGTAGTTATTGAAGGCAGCAATTCTGAAGAACTTGAACTAGTTGAATTGCATGTATTGGTGCAAGATATAAACGATCATGCACCACAATTTACTACCGGTGCAAGCCAAACTGCAAAGATTTCCGAATCAGCTGAAGTTGGTTCTGCCTTGAATCTTATACCAGCTGCAGATGCAGATCTCTCTCCTGAAAATCAAATACAAAGGTATGCAATTCATGGGGCCGAACTGCAACAGAATTTTGATTTAGACACATCTGACTTACCAAATGTCCGTTTACGTTTATCTCAACCACTTGACTATGAGACAACTACAAATTATAGTGGTATTATTGAAGCTTGTGACCGACGCCAGTGTGCTCAACAAAATTTAACGATACTTGTGATTGATGCCAATGATAACAAACCAATGTTCGTTCAACATTCATATGAAGTGACAATTCCAGAAAATTTCAGTGTTGGCCAGACAGTCTTAGTGCTTGATGCAATTGATAAAGATTCTGAAATGAATGCTAGAATGGATTTTCGGATACAAGGGGATGTTGACATGAATTTGAAGAAAACTTTTCGACTAGACAGTCACTCGGGTCATCTGATACTTCAATCCCGTTTGGCTGCACACCAGCGATCTGAATATCGTTTCACAGTGACAGTTAGCGAAGTTCCAAGCAATCAGATTCAGTCAGTTGACGCGTTATCTTCAAGAATACCTGTCACTTCTACAGATTCAGCCAGTGTTGTAGTCACTGTTCAGGATTTAAATGATTTTAGTCCTTCTATACGAATGATTTCACCGATAGAAGGTCAGCCATTGTCCGTTAGTGAAAATTCTGCCCATCTACGTGTTTGTGTACTACAGGTTACTGATAATGATTTGAATGAAAATGGTCGAGTTCACTGTCGTCTCGTATCTAATACACTAGAAGCGACTGGTTCTGATGCTTCCACTAATTCCAGTAGTACAGACTCATTTGAACTTACACAAACTGGTAATCATTATACTCTACTAACTTCACGACCGTTCGATGCTGAATTAGAACCACAGATAACAGTTACAATTGCATGTGCAGACTATGGCGTACCTCAACGTTCGACTAGTCGTGATCTTGTAATACATGTTGAAGATGTAAATGAATACCCACCTGAGTTAGAAAAAATTAACTATCACGCTAGTATAATGGAGAATGCCAAAGCTGGAATAGAAGTTGTACAAGTAAGTATTTCTGTTATATTTTGGTCGTTTATTTATACGGTTGATTGTCTTGTTATTTATTTTTTTATTTTTGATTACAGCTTGACTCCACACTGTATTTTTCGTACAAGTATGGAATTTTCAGCATGGATATCGGTAGCCCAAATTTTGCAGGCCGACTATAGATATCAGGTATGCGCCGGCAGGGGATCGAACCTCGGACGATGTGCATGGTTGGCGAGAGTTCTAACCACTGTGCCACCGACGCACAAAGCCAGTTCCTCGACCGGGAGTCGAACCCCAGCCTTCCACGTGACAGGCGGAGATACTCACCACTATGTCTTTATTAGTTAATATTTTTTTGTTATAAATAAGTTACTGACCAAAACTGGTTTGTTGCATATGACTCATGCACCCCAGTCATTCTGCAAATCTAAATGTAATTGGTTGTGATATACGTACAGATAAGAGGGACAAAGAGATTGAGATCAGAACTAAGAATATTTAGTTGGATAGACTTGACCTTAAGGATATGAAAAAGTTGCATTCACTTATGATGACGTCATGAAAACTAGCTTTTTTTATATCCTCAAAAAGAAACTTTGAATTGTTATTCACAATACAATTGGTGGATGGTGGCTAGCAGTGGAATCCAGGATGCGCATTTCGTCCATATTGGGACTCGTCACTGGACGTACCTGCATTTCTCAGTGAGTGATGATGTTCCCACCGAGGCTCGAACCCAGTACCCATAGTTTCGAACGCCAAAGCGTTATCCACTAGACGACTTGGGCCACGAGAGCCACCTCTTGTGCAACGGGTCATATATTAATTATTGAATTGAATTTTTGATTTTCCCGTCGATTGATTGAACTGAAGTGTTCGGTCTCAGGTTGACATGTCGGCTTCTTGTGCAGATGCTTCGACGATGTCTGGAGATTTGATTTGTATACAATTGGTGGATGGTGGCTAGCAGTGGAATCCAGGATGCGCATTTCGTCCTATTTGGGACTCATCACCTGGATGTACCTGCATTTCTCAGTGAGTGATGATGTTCCCACCGAGGCTCGAACCCAGTACCCATAGTTTCGAACGCCAAAATTCAATTCAATAATGTTATTCACAATTTTCATAACCTCACTACAAGGCTTATTAAGAATTTCATGCACAGACGCACTCACCCCAGTTCATTTTGACGAAGAAAATTATTTGTTTGTTATTGTCTTTTCTAAATTCATTCATTGATTAAACTATTGTTTTGTTTTTCTTTTTTCACTTGATGAAATATATAGGCTAATAAGTGACCTTTAACAAATAGTGATTTTGGGAGTTGTACTCTTAGGTTGTTATCCTCTCAGTGTGTGAAAAAATTTAAAATGTTTTGTTAATACGAGTTTGCCCACAGATTGATATCACTTAGATGATTTGCAAACTAGAATGAAACAGCTTTGCAGTACCCCCTAGTTCTCAGTGGTTCTCTAACTGATATCGATTTGTGGTCAAACTCGTATACACATATCTAATCCCTTACAAACCAAACTCTTAAAAGTGAATCTGATGCTCGCTAGTGACTTGCTACAGGACAGAGTGTCCTAGAGTCCTAATGAGAAGTCGTGACCAGTGAGGTTCATCCAGTCAAGTGTGAGGTTGGAGTTCCCACCGATGACATTGGTTAGTGGTCACGTTAAATCACGAATTGGTAGAAATTAGAATTCAAGGGCTGGCAACTGAATCGGGTCCCAGTGGCTGAATGGTATACAAGCTGGCTGGCCTTTTTAACCGGAAGGTCCTGGGTTCGAACCATGGTGGTGGGTGCGTAGTGCCGATGATCTCCAAACTAGGATGAAACAGCAGTTGTCCAGTACTCCCTAGTTTTCAATGGTTCCCTAATTGATATCAATCTGTGGTGAAACTCGTACAAACAAACCTAATCCCTTACAAACCAAACTTTTGAAAATGAAACTGTTTTATTTTGTTTTAATTTCAAAAATACATTTTCAATATATCGTCATTAATCAGTTAAAATTTTCCCCTTGCTAATTTTAATTTAGAAAATTGTATGATGATGATTTCAAGGAACCTATGTCTCCTTACCCTTAATTTCTCACTCAGAGATATATTCATTCTAGTATGTTGATTCATTCACTCAGGATGAACATGAAACCTACTGTTTCCAAGGTTATCGATTAGAATGACTAAAAATACAAAATTCAGCATGAATTTATACATGTATGTCTGAAGAGTAGATGGCACTACAATCTTAAATTATTCATGTCATGATCAGAAGTTTGATTTCAAAGTAGCACTGCAATCCAGTGAAACAGAAATTCATGGTGGCAAGTTAGGTCACACCATGCCATACTACCTAAACGCAGTGATGTTTACTATGTATGATTATTCTGACAGCTGAGATTGGTATACCCGACGGCTAGATATCCAAAGCGCTGCAGCTACATAACTGCTTAGGATATCCCTATGGAGACTCGTTAGAACTTCAAACTGGTCTCTTATTTCCTTCTGTTTCTTTGATGTTCATAAAGTGACTGTTCCCATTAATTAGTCTGACATAAATACGTATATATACATATATGCTAGTCAAGATGAATTCATTATGAATTAAAACACCAGATGTGTCATGTCACTTTATAATATTTTTTCTTCTGAAACTTGACCTGAATTTAGAATTGAATTGAAGGGTTGTTTAGGTTGTCCATGTAAACAGATGCAATCGTAATTTCCTTCACATTGGTTAGATTGAAATTAACAAAAGCACATCTGTGAGTGGATTTCTTCATAAAATGTTTTCGGGCTATTTTTTTTTACGCGTAATTGAAAATTAGGAGACAATGAAATTCAAAACAGGACAAAGGAGGAATGAACACTTAAGTATTCCTTACTTTTCATCCAATTGTTTTCATTCACATCAAGGAGTAAATTATTATGAAAAGTCTGATTACCAATGAATGCTATTCTGCAAATCTGTTTCTTTCATATTTATTAGTTTTCTTCTGACGCTTAGAACCTTGTCGAATTGGATTTTACACAGTGGGTCTCTGTCTTGTATATTTTATCATGCAATGGATTTAGGCATATTCCTGCAGAAGTGGATTATATTTTGCATCAGAAATAGTGATTGTAGGTATTAGATGGTTGGAGGCAACCGACAGGAAGCCTTGGACCTAGGTTTCGTGCTAGTTGGGACGCATCACCAAGGCGTATCTGCAACCTTCATGAACCTCATGTCCTTTCTGAGATTCGAACCCGCGTCACCCAGTGCTGCAGCTAGAGACGTTACCACTGAGTTATTCAGGCTCGCGATCGACCTCCTGTAGGACTATATTGGGTATTTTTGATTGAACACTAGTCAGTAACTAGTGTATTGTGTGTAGTCCTATCTTCATTGCAGACTGAATTCTATCAGTCAAGCTTGCAATGTGGCCACCTTGCTAGGTGGCTCGCCATTACGGTGTACTGTGAATTGTTGGTATTAGAGGGTTGGAGGCAATAGGCAGGAAGCCTTGGACCTCATCAGCAAGGCGTATCTGCAACCTTGAAGGAACTCATTTCCCTTCTGAGTAATCAAAAATGTAGTGATTGTAGGTTTAAATTGGTAATGAATGATCAGATTAGTTATTTCATCCGAAGAATCACCATTTCTTCGTAAAGATTCTGTCAATCATCAAGTATTGGTTTTGTAGGGATTTTTGTTTGCTTGGTTGGAGGATTTCATCATGAGCTGACATCAGTTAGAGAACCATTGGAAAACCTGGGAGTGCTGGACAGCTGTTTCGTCCTAGTTTGGGACTCTTCAGCAGTACGCACCCGTCGCCAGGGCTGGAACCCAGGAGTTTCTGGTTACAAGATGAGCTCGTAGACCATCACTTTATTTTAATTTGTACGTACAACCCCAAAATTGCACTGCAGACTATAGTGGGATAAAAATAACACAGTTAACCTTTAGGCATCCAAACCGGTGCCTCCTGTGGAGGTTAATTTACTTCTTACTTCTCGTGATGGCGATAGAAGTAAGAAACATCGCTGGAAATTCCACCCACCTACTTAACTACCCATATACATATTCATTTTAACTACTCTTAACGCTTCGCGTATAAGATATGAGAATCAGTCAGTTACAAACACAGGCTGCAGTCAAGCTTCCGCTTGCACTTAGCCAACCACATTTCATTCAGATCACCTATCTGTAGATACTGATCTCCACGAGCACTTGGATGGTGGACACATAAATATCTCCTGCCCCCCACCACCCCCACCCTCGCATTACACTCTTAAGTGAATATAAATAAGATATGATGCATCAGTTTTAAGTATAGCGTTTATACTCAACAGATATTGATAAGGTTCACTTTTGTCCTATATTATAGTGTATACATTTGTCTAGACTATCAAGAGACAAATAATACTAATATACATGTACATATAATGCCCCCATTCACTAAAACATCTGCAGTTTATTTATTCTTCAAATGTTTAGACAGGACAAAAACATCTGGGTTATATGTGTGTGTGTATATTATCAGTCATAGCACTAGCAGTATAGTCATTGTAATGGTGTTATTATTATTATTATTAGCACTGGTAGTAATAACAGCAGTAGGGTTAGTAGTAGTAGTATTAGTAGTAAGAGTATTACTACTAGCAGTAGTAATTATTAATTTTCCCTGTAATGTATTCCTTTTTTGAGAGTATACAAATGTTTATTTATGCACAGGTCTTTCAGACACATTTCTAAAGGTAAAACAAACAGACAACAATGTGAAATTCCTTTTTCACACTATGCTGAATTTACTTAAATTTTTTATGACGATTTATATGATTAATGCTTATATTTCTTCTCCTCTTCCCTAAAATGTTTGCTAATGTATTCATTATTCTCCAGCTTTATTTTTTACAGTTATATATTATGCTTGCTTTCACTTCTTGTTGAATGTCTTAATTCTATAAAGGTAGATTTAGGAGACCGACTACTAGATATGATGCCTATGAGTAAACTGGGATTTTAA